GTCAATGACATGAGACAAAGTATATGTGAACTGCTGTATGGAAAGTGAATTTGCTCCGTAAATCTTCACCCAAATCACAATAAATAAATAAATAACTTAATGAATTAATTTAAGAAAAAAAGAATTTTGCTTGCTGTTTAGGAAGCCAGATCCAAAACAATTATCAGAACAGATGCTTACTCAAAATAATCTTTAGCCTTATCCATTTCCTACCTTCAGTCACTGAAGAAGGGTCTCATGTTTGTTTTGAGGCCACCCAAAAAATCCAAACCCACTGCCATTGAGTCAAATCCAACACATAGTGACCCCCGCTGCATTTCCAAGGCTATAAATCTTTCTGGAAGCAGATTGCTTCATCTGAAGCAATCTGATGGGTTTGAACCCTCAACCCTGTGGCTAGTAGCCAAATGCCTTATCCACTATGCCACCAGAGCTCCTTATTAGAAAAGAACGGTCACAACAAAACCATTACTTCCTGACTTAATGAAAAAGCCTCTTTGTTGTTATTTGCCATAGAGTCAGCCCTGACTCCTAGCGACCCCTCCTTGGGTTTCCGAGGCAGTTAGCACTACGGAAGTAGGATTGCCCAACCTTCCTTCTGAGGAGTGGCTGGTGGGTTTGAACCGCCAGCCTCCTGGTTAGCAGTCAAGTGCCTTAGGCACTATGCTACCAGAGCTCCCCAAAAAGCCTCTAGGATTTCCTAATTTAAATCTCAAAACATCTTATGGCTGCAGGTGGGTGGAGGGCTAAATACTTTAACAGTCAGACCAGGAGTCACCTACCAAACCCACTGCCATTGAGTCGATTCTAACTCATAGTGACCCTCAATGGTTTTTTGAGGTGGTAAAACTTTAAGGAAGTAGATTGCCCCATCTTCAGTCTATGGAGTTGCTGGTGGGTTTGAACTGCCAATCTTCTTTAGCAGTCAAATGACTTACACACTGAGCTAGTAACCTGATAAACTGAGATGATCTCTGTAAAAGAGGGATCCCACTGCCATCCAGTCAATTCTGACCCATAATGACCCCAGGTGTCCAAGGCTATAATATCTTTATGGAAGCAAACTGCCTTGTCTTTATCCAGTGAAGCAGCTGGTGGGTTCGAACTGCTGACCTTTTGTTAGTGCCCAATGCCTTAACCAGAGCTCCTTAAAAGGGGGGAAAGCAGGGTTCAATCAATCATGTTAGCCAATTACTGATCTTCTATTCTTCTCCCTCCTCTTAACAAACCTCACTGTACCTGGCTTAAGGAGCTCTAGTGGCATAGTGCCTAAGGCATTTGACTGCTAACCAAAGGTTGGTGGTTCAAACCCACTAGCTGCTCCACGGAAGGAAGATGGGGCAATCTACTTCTGTAAAGATTTACAGCCTTGGCAACCCAATGGGGTTCTCTATGAGTCAGAATCTACTTGAGACAGTGAGTTTTTGGTTTGGTAACTAGCTTACATTGAGCCATTTGCCTTTTTTGAATCAAAATGCACTTCCTATATGTATATAGAACAATTGCTCAGAATAAACCTTATGATTTAATTTCTTTGAGTTTTGATTAATTTTTTTTAGCTTTTTTATTGTGATTTGGGTGAAAATTTACAGAGAAAATTCACTTTCCATACAGCAGTTCACTTACACTTTGTCTCATGACATTGAACACAATTTACCACAATGCAACAGCTCCCCTCCCACTTCTTTCCCATAGTTACCTCTTCCCTGTGTCCATCTCTCCATGCACTCCTGCCCCCTGAGCCGTCTCTCTGTGTAAGAGCAGCCCTTCTTTCTCCCATGATTTTTCTCTCCAAGAAGTGTATCTACCTGAGGTAAATGTTCAACTCATACAGTCTTTTGTTTGGCTGTAAGCCACAGGTGTGGGTTCAATTCTAGACCTGAAGGGCAGCTAGGGGCCATAGTCTCAGTGGTTCCATGAGGCTCTGTTGGACCAGCAAACCTGGTCCCCCCCATCCCTTTTTTTTTTTTCCCAAATGATTTTGAGTTTTTTCCACATTGTTTTCCCTCTATCCAGGATCTCCTACATAGATCCCCTTCCAAGTGGTTGACAGTGGTAGCCAGGCACCATCTAGTTCTTCTGGTTTCATAGTCATGTAGGCTGCAGATCAGATGGTGTACCAGTCACTAGGACTAATTGTTTCCATGAATTTTTGGTTTCCTTCATTCTTTGCTTTGGACCAGGAGAGACCCATCATTGCATCTAGATGGCAGCTGGCTAGCTTTTAAGATCCCAGTCACTACTCACCAAAGTAGGAGGTGGAACAATGTTTTGTGTACTATGTTATGCCAATTGAGCTTGATGTCCCCTGTGACTATGGTCCCAAGATCACAGGTTCAACTACTTGGTCTCTCTGGGTAGCTGGCTGTGACCAAGCAGTGACTACAGCCTTGCCCCTTGTCAGCTCTACTATACACCTAGGAATTCAGATCATACACATAAACTTATAGGACCATTGTCTGCCAACCCTATACATGTCCTTGGGTACACTCCCCGCTTCATAGACATACCTACTAGTACAGCCTGTCCACCCATCTATCCACCCGTGTACCCATGTTTGCCTTCACGAGTTTTGATTAATTTTTAACATCATTAAATGCATGGCAAAGATAAGCATAAATCCAATTCCCAGCTGGATCCAGGCCTCATCTCCCCATATTTCCACTGTTTGACATTAGTCACTTCTGTGGCAATTCCTTTCTCTGACCCTAACCACCCAGAGTTAAATCAGATCTCATCCCCAGCTATCCTGAGTCAGATGCTGAGCCAGGTCAAAACCTCCCCAGCCACCTGAATCCAGGTCATCGAGGATCAGCCATAAACTCATTTTTCTGCACAACTACTGTACTTTAGACCAGCTGGCTCCCATTCTAAACTCTTTCTGGTCCCCTGGGACTGTCACAAGCTAGAAGGACTCTATCTTTCTTCATCGGCTGTCTGTGCAGCTTTTTTTTTTTTTTTTTTTAATATCACCTAGCCACTCAGAGCTGGGTCTACACAAATCAATCCTGTACTACTAGCACCTGCTGGCTTATTGCCCCCATGAGTTAATTCATTCTCTGTAATGGCTCAAAAAATTCATGAAGACTATTACCTGTACTAGGAGCTCTGGTAGCATAGTGCCTAGGGCACTTGACTGCTAACCAGAAGGCTGGTGGTTCAA